TCTTGTTTCTTGATAATTAAAGTGAAGGACGCACTTATAGACTTTGCGTAATCGTTGATGTTGAAGGACAAGCTCTAGGATCACGCGGGACACTGTCACGCTTTTACATCCTAGGGCTCGGTTTTTAAGTGTACGAAAATGAAGTCGTCCGCACAGTTAGGAATAAAAATAGGTGTACTGGGCATTTTGGATCCCAATTGTCATACTTTGAGAAGTGATCGGAGCACCCTGCCCAATTACAACTCGGACCACCAGATTAAATTGGAAAACCTTCAAAACTTCAAAATCTTAGTTACTCTTGTAACTCGCAAAACCTGATTCAAATCAGAGAGGAGATTGAGGGTTGTGCCCAGGGTCAAACCTGGGGTGTGGCATGCCACACCTGGGGGTCGTATTGAGGAGTCAGGGAGGGGGGGGGGTCGTTCTCAAGGCGTCCGATGTTCCCATAATATGATATTCGTTATAGAATGTCAAATAGGCCCGTCAGGGAGAAATTAGCACACTCGTGTTTGACCCATCATCGTATACGTACATTAGGCATAATTAAAGATCTATAAAGCATAAGAGCATCGTTTTGTAATTAGCAATTAAAACAACCCCTGTGAGCTAAGTTTCAGCCAATTCTAAGGTTTCCAAATAGGACCACCTAAGTGAGATGGTCGTTTTTAAGCATGTTACTTTGTTTCAAAGGTAAGTTGACTACTTCTTTTTGCGCTCAATATAAAGAACTACTATTTTTTCGCTCACATTAGGAATCCACATCAAATGACCTACAAATTAAAGATTTAAAAGCAAGTAAAATTCTTGTTGGCCTTTTTCGTTTTCAATATCTCAAGCTAGAAAAGACCAATCAGCCTCAGATCACTTGAGTGTATATTACGAGGCTTAGGCCACCGAATCTATACATTTTTGTCGCCTTCCCTTGCGATTTACATAGTAGCGCAGACTTAGCATGTTACCGCCAATATTTTCGGTTGTATTTTACCGGTATTTTATATTTGCATAGGTAAGAAAAAACGATTATATCTTGCCCTATAAGAAATGTTTTCATACGAAATTTCTGCTACCTAAAAAAGAAGGTTAAGCAGTGACAACGATATAAAAAACGCAGCTGTTCGATTGGTTTGAAGGTAAGTCAATGGGGTGTGGCATCACCCCTAAAAAGCTGTGACAGCCACAGCTTTTTAGGGGTGGTGCCACACCCTACTAACTATATCCAAAAAAACATGTTGAGCGAACAATATTTATATGAATCGCTAGCCTAAACCTCAATTTGAGCAGTGAACTGAGCCTGTTTCGTCTTTTTAGCTTTGAGTTATAATTGGTAAAAGCACAGCCATCAAATGCGAAAGAGAGGAAAAACGAGAACTTGGTTGGCTTCTGATTCCACAGTTTGGAGGTCTTTTGGAGCGATATTTCTGAAATGCACAAAAAAGGAGTAGTACTTTGTTTTGAGTGCAAAAACAGCTAACTAATTTACCTTTGAAACAAAGTTAATCATGCTGGAAAAGGCGATTTCACTTAGGCAATTCAGTATCTTGAAACTTCAGAATTCGCTCAAATTTTCGTCTATAGGGTTAATTGACATGCTAATTATGGATTTGCTGCCCGTTATGTTTGACAGGGCCTTCAAGTAATGCTATCTTGGGTATATAGTTCAGGTGGTCTTATTGAGACAGCAATTACGGGGGGGGGGGGGGAGTCGTAACCAGCAATCGTGTGCCACACCTCTTGCTTGACCCTGGTTATGCCCAATCTCTGCCACAGAGACTTTTCACGAAAAGTGAATTAAATTTATGGGATCTTATGGGATTCTTTTGAAAGGAATCCATTGAGATGTGAAGAACTTTTGTGTTTTTTTTGAAGCGGCGCAAGAACTTTTGAGAAAACCGAATATTTGAAGTCTTGTTGAACAGATGATAACAAATTAATTTTGAGAAATCAGAAGATAATTCAGTGCATATGATAACTCCTTTCTCGCTCCCCTCAAATTTCTCGAGCCACTTCCTCCCAACCCTTGCTTTCAAGTCTTGACGCGATTGAGCTCGTCTTTAGCATGTAAACTCTGAGCATGATGGGTCTTTCAATTTTCGAGATAAGCCTCAATTCGCCCGAAAAAGCAAAAAATTTTGTGGAAGATTGTCGAGTTACTGCTTTAAACTAAACACTTTTATAGATCCGTTTGCTTGATTCAAACTTCATTGCCTCTTTGACTCTCAAGTTTTTTTGTACAGCTACATCTCGAAGTGTGAAACATTTGCAGCACCTCCGACCTCTCGTCGTAATCGAAGACGAATAATCACGTGAAGTTTTTGCTTTTGACAGCATTGAGAGTCAATCTGCTTTAACGAAAAGCTCGTTTGCAGAGTTTACGAGCTTTTTCACATGCCACGCAGAAATCATAGAATCTCGTGAGCTTTATTTTGAGGGAAGAACGCTCTTAGAAACTTCGCGCAATCGCTGATTTTGACGGACAGCTGCAAAATCACTATGATAGACAATGATAGACATTTTTCTACAAAACTCGATGTTTAATACTCAGGAAGTGCTGAGCTTGATTTATTGCCTTACCTATGATGATGCGGTTTTGCGAAAACTCTCAGATTGTTGTGATGCAATCGCGCCTTCAAGTTTCAAGTACTTTTCATGAAAATTCCCCTGAGCAGTAGATTGGGCATAAGCCTAAATCTCATTATCTTCTTGTTTCTTGATAATTAGAGTGAAGGACGCAATTATAGACTTTGCGTAATCGTTGATGTTGAAGGACAAGCTCTAGGATCACCGGGGACTGTCACGCTTTTACATCCCAAGGCTTGGTTTTTATTGTACGAAAATGAAGTCGTGTGCACAGCTAGAAAAAAAATAGGTGCAGTGGGCATTTTGGATCCACAATTGCCATACTTTGAGAAGTGATCGGTGCACCCTGCCCAATTAGAGCTCAGACACCAAATCAAGCTGGAGAGCCCTCAGAACTTCAAAATCTTAGTTACTCTCAACTAACTCGCAAAACCTGATTCAAATCAGAGAGGAGATTGAGGGTTATGCCTAATCTCTGCACACAGAGAACTTTCACGAAAAGTAACTTGAATCTAAAGGCGATTGCATCACAGCATTCTGAGAGTTTTAGCAGAACCGCATCATCAATTAGGCAATATAATGAATCAACCTCAGCTCTTCCTAAATATCGAATATCGAGTTTTGTGGAAACATGGTTACCCTTTGGCGTGGAGATTGTCCGTCAATATCGGCGATTACGCAAAGTTTATGAGAGCGTTCTTCACCTCTTTTATCGAGAAAGTTCAAAAGCATTTGAGACTTTCGTTTGGCATGTATAAAAGCTCGTAAACTCAAACCAGCTGTTTATTAAGGTAGACTGACTTTGAGAGCTTTTAAGAGGGAAAAAATTCAGGCGATTGTTTATCCCTTGCATATTCTTTTAGAGTCAAGAAATGGAAGAAATGCAATGTTGGCTGAAAAAAGCAAGTGTATTTATAGTAGTGTCCAGCCTGATCAGGGCTTTTTTAGATATTTCTCTTTTTCACCGTTTCAAATCAGGGAATTAAGAGCCGTTTTGTTGAATGATGGTAAGCTTGTATGTATACAATGCAACAAAACTTTAAATAGATCCATTAACAAAAAGGCAGATCATGGCGATGTTGAAGACTGGATAATAATTGTGTTTAGCACTGTATTGCTCTTCGAAGCTTACACCCTCTGCAAAGTACATGTGAAGTAAACGATGTTCAGTAGTCGTTTCATCAAAACCCCTGTTCTGTAGTTTTCAATGGCCATACCTGACTAACTACACAACACTGATGCTATCTCAAAGTTTGGTCTATTTTGCGCCATACTGTGACTATGCAGGTCATAGTGTTTCTGATAAGTGCTGGAAAAATTTTTTTCTGTAATCTTAAGTGAAGACCAAGCTTAGCAAGCCATAAAGCTTCTTGTACCAGATTTGACGCCACGTTGATTTCAAAATTATCGAATCGGCCGAAAAAAATTGTCATCATACGATATCGTGACAGCGGTTCCTCAGCATAATGAACGGTCAAAAATGTGAGTCTTATAAGGATAAATGCTATGGCAAATAGAATGAATCATCCACCAGTATAAAACTCCCTCAAATCAGGACTCTAGCATTATATTCATCAGATGTTTTCGTCCGTGTACGTTGTTCTCCTTGTGGCTATTATTGTTTGCACCCAAGTGCTCACAGATCGTAAGCCCATTCGAACAAACAACCTTGCAGGCCGTGTCTTTAGTTTCAGAGCTTCTGCGAATTCAAAAAGATCAAGACTCTGTATAACCATATCTTAGTACAAGCTCGCACCAAATTCCTTGAAGACGTGCTCAAGCAGATTGCACTTCCACATTTCTGCATATTTCAAGGCTTTTCAACACGCAGAATCCGAATTTAAGCTCTAAAGGTGGAAAGGCCATACTTGTATCAGATAAGAGTATGAAACCCTGAACCTTGTTAGTCCATGAGCTAGGAAAAGCGCAAATACTTATATCGATCAGGGCATCGTTCCTTGCAATAATTTTAAAAAAGGAACGGGGTCTCAACGAAGAATTTTTCATGTAAGACCTTGTTCCACCCGAACCGTCAATGGAAGATTCTTTTTTGTTATTGAATTTAAGGCAAAATTTGATTCTTGTCGCAATCTCCGCTAAAGAAATTTCGCTAAGATGCTAAATGAATGCGGCGCTGATGAAGTAAAGGCGCAATAAATGTAAAGTCGAATGTTAACGCTGATTTTGTCATAAAATAACAATGTACTTGACATCCACTTTGGTCTTAAAGCGCAAACAACCAGCAGCTTCCACTCGCTTTCTGTATCTCTTATTGCAAGCCACTTTTATAAGGCCCGCTTACGTATATGCCTGTGAGTCAACATCACAGTGGTAACTTTGGAAAACTTGAATCAGATACACCAATCCCATGTTCGACATCATACTTGCTGATCCAATATTTTTCTCTTTATCCATCTCTTTACAGAAGTACTCGACAAGCCAAACATGTGGTTTGGGCTCCTAATAACCGCTGCTTTTATTTCTTTTGTAACTGCAAGTACGCGTAAGTATTGAAAAAATGAAAGCCCTACGATGAAATGATGTAAATTCTTAATTGTTTGCAGTCCCAGACTATCCTCCACCTCCTGCAGTGGGAATGCCAATGGTGATTCCTCCTTCGCCTTATCTGAAGGGACCAGGATTCCGAGGACCTCGTGGTAGACCAAGATTTCAAGGAAAGCCGCGGGGTGGACGTCGTGGTAGACCAAGACATAGAGGAAAGGCGCGGCGTGGAACTACTCCGCCACCGTCAGAGCCAGACGGGCCTGAATATTCTTCTGCAAGAATTTGAGGTGACAAACATAAATGCAGACTTGTTTTCCATCATATTCCTTATACAGATGACAAAACAATCTACAAACGTCTTTTGAATATCTGAGTTGCTAACTTTATCTGAATCTCATGACACTAGTCTTTTTTAATTTGCTCCTTGGCAGCGTACACCCAAAATTTCACCTTCGATGTTTTTGTCATTCTGGGGCCTTTCCGTGCCGCTGATTACAGTTATGCCATTGAAATCCTCCAAAAGTCCCAAAAAAAACCCCGATTTCCGGGGACCCTCTCTTCAGGGACGGACGAGTTTCGAACTGCTCGTCCTTGTCGGCATGCCAGCAGCTGCAACATCATGACAGCCTGCAGTTGCAACTGCAACTGCTGCGTATGCTGTCGTGGTTTGTCGCCCGAAGGAGGGGAGGCGCACCGCAAAAAGCAACTGCACTGTTGCAACTGCAGTTGCAGATGCAACAGCATTGCAACAGCAACTGCAACGGCAACCGAAGCTTACGCTGTCATGGATTCGTCCGGAGGAGGCGGAGCGAAAGAAAAAGGGCGTAGTGAAAGAAAATTGATGGGGGTTTTCTCCGCTCAGAAGCAACATTGGGAGACCGGACCAACGCAGTTGATCTTCTTCTGGGCCCAGTATATACATGGTATAGAAAGATCTAGAAAGTTCGGTAACTTAGATTTTGGGTGTACGCTGCCTTTAAACAAGCGCGAATCATCCAGTAAATTATAGATGCAAGGCAGACATACGGCGCAAGCGCGTAATACTTAATCGAGTATATGTGGTCTCAAGCGAGAAGAACAAGTATGATTTCTTGTCCCAAGACGGTAGGAAAGCACTTCGACTTCAAAAACGTGGTGCAAAAAAAATCAAATTCTCTTAACTAAAACACCGAAAAAAATGATTTGATGGATGATAAATGAACAAAAAAAACTGTAAAAAAACTTGTCGGAGAATATAAATTGTTGAGAGTACATGCTTCAAAAAAGCAGAATGACTTGGAGAAGAGAGAATCTCAGTACGAGCGTCATATCTGTTTACTTCTCTCTTGTTATTTGGCGCAGGATGAAGTAGAGGAAGTTGGTTGAAAGCAAAGTCAGTACAAAATCATGTATGGTTGTAATGTTAACATAAGCTACATATACAATACAATGAATTTTGAATGCAGCGAACAAGTGGTGAACAGTTGGCTGTAGAGTCATAGAATGTCTCTCAACGACGAAAGCGTTTACAAAGCTCCTACTGCAATCCTCATAACCTAGCTCTCTAGTGCGTATTACGTTTACAAAGTTCATACGCGCTTTATCTGATGAATACATTTTGAATTTTTGCAACAGGATAAGAAAACACATTGTTGAGGATTTGCACAATGATACTGTTTGCGCCCTTTCGTGCTAGCTTACCGCTGTCGTAAACTCCGCGGCGGACTCCAGAACTGGAACCAAACAAAATTAAATGCTTTCCAACTAATAAGCGGTAATATTTTTGTGCAAGTGAGGTAGGGACCCTCGAACTGTGTAAGATATATATATATATATATATATTCAAACTTGTATGAATGAAAGCCGTGGTAAAGTTCTTCCAAATTAGCTGGAACTGTTTCAGGCAGATGTCAGCTGAGCTGGTCCTAATCTCTTGCTCACATATTTCAAATTTTCCAATGAATTGTCGCTGCATATGGTTTCCGTATTAACACCAAACGCTTTCATACCCTTTTCTCTACGCTTTTTTATGGCCTATAAAAATTTTTCGATCGCAATTTCTGAAACAAAAAATGTTCTGTGATGTGGCCAGTACGTAAGTTGGACGAACCGAAGTCAGAAAAATATTGCTAATATGAGCACGGCTCAAAATCTCATGTCAGACAATTATTGCGACCACCCCGGAGAGGGCGCCGGCAGACGTTTCATCCACCCGCGAGCGGTAGAATAAACGCTCCCAAGCAGACATTTATCTGGTTCAGTAACTTAAACAGTAGTCATCCGAGGGCACTATCGAACCGACTTCGCCGCTAGTTATACACTGAGACGAGATAAGCGAAAATCAAAGCATTTAGGGTAACCTCATCGAGCAACTTTTTGCTTCCAGCGTGCAAGAATCGTGACGTCGCAGGCCCCTAAGACATGATTCTACAAAGCAGTTGCCTAGAAAGACTGGACCTGCGCAAAAATGATGTGCACGGCGCCCATTAAGGCCCGCGGTTTTACGTGATAGAAGTGGGAGGTGCCCGATAAGGTCAGAGCTTGCTTGGTACAGAAACTCAGTTAAGCTGCGGGGCTCGCCCGAAAACCAAGTATGCTGTGCTCCTGTAAGGCCCGCGGCTCCTCGAGGGTTTTTTCTTGGGTCGTGGGTGCTCCGAGAAAACAGTAAGAGCCCGCGGCCCTTCGCTAGCGGAGACTTTGCGGCGCGGATGGCCACATACATAAATCTAGGACCGCGGATGGTTTGTCCCAGAACTTGGCGCCCGCGTCCCGCTAAAACACGGCGTTGGGGCCGCGGCAATTCCTCTGAGATGTTTGTCATCCTCCAAAAAATGGGTTCAGCACCCTGCATAGTCATAGGCAACGAAATAAGACCTTCCAACTTGATTGCTATTGATCTTGGCGTCAGCTGCTTGATGACCGCATCAACCGCTTAAGCGTTGACCAAGATGTTCACTCTCTATTCATGGCCAAAATTTCGGCGAGATCTTCTTCGTCACAGCCGAGAAAGTCGAAAACGCAAATGAAACACTCTCTCAGATGCCAAAATCACAGCTAACCAATGCCCAGGTGAGAAATGGTTGTTCGATTCTTTGTTTGCTTTCGCACTATCTTTCAAACTAATTTTCATCTTGAGCTGTGATCTTGGAGTCTAAGAGAATGCTTCACTTATGTTTTCCACTTCTTTGGCTCTGACGAAGGCGATCTCCTCGAAACGTTGGCCGCGAATGAAGAGCGAAATAAGATTACGGATTCATACTAACAATAGCTGAAAATTCCAAAATCTTCCTTTTTTGCAGCTATGGCTTCGTAGGGAAACAGCGGGAGCCGCTTGGGTCATAAGCGCTTGAAGACTACCACCACGGATTCTTCATGCTGCGGTCCAGACACATGAAGACTAGACAGTCACGGCTACAGTACCCCACATTTCTGGTGAGCTTTTTAGCCGGAGGACACTAATAGAATCTTCTGAGCGCTAGTTAACAAAGATCACAGAACTCAGACTACCCGAGGACATTGGCCGACTGCAAAGACTGCACAAGAACAATACAGCTATTCCACTTCCTATTTGTCCCGTGATCACTCTAGTTGGAGAGAGGGGGCCAAGACAAGCACTTTCGACGAGGGTATTCTCTGCGCCTTGCTGCTGATGAGGAGTCATTGGACTGGAACGAGAGAGGCTTACGAGTACAGAGCCAATTTTCACCAGACTTACTTCACGGACGACATCGTCCTCTAACCGAGCAATGCCACTGAAGCAGTGAGGTGCTGAAGAAACTCAGCAAGGTAGGAGAAAAGATTGTGATAGAATTGACCGGAGAAACATTCAGTCTTTGAAGGTCCTTCGGTAAAGGTACAAATTTGAAACTGAAAAGCACAGCCAATGCGTGTTCTCACGCTTATCCAACTTCGGTGAACGTGGAGAACGATTTATTGAAAAACTTACTGGGAGATAAAGTAGCCTGAGCGGCCTTTCGACCTTTGAGACCACTCAAAACGAATATCGGGATTTGGAGAAGATGCATATTATTTCTCTCAGCGCTTACGCCGTTTGGCTTATTCTAATCAAAAGGTGCATTAGTCTTTCTAGGACTTTGTCTAACGTTATGGGTCCAGCGATGCCTAAGGTGGAGGAAATACTGACATATCTTCCAACGACTACCTCAGTTCTCTTTTCGTTATCGACAATAGCAAGACTGGATTATGAATATGCAATCAGAATGACAAATGTTCATGTCTGTGTTCGTTCTAACTAGCTGCTTCAACATTCTGATTTGGGATGTAAGCACGTTGCTGCCTTCACTGATTTTACAGAGCTTCCAAAACTTGGTTGTAATTTTTCTGGCAACTTGTGAAAGACGACCACTAATGATTGTTTTGCAGCCATCATTCCTTACTCAGTATCCTCATTCCCTGCCTTTAGCAGAAGCTGCATCGCTCACAAGTGGCAAAATCAGTCTTCTGTATGTATCGATGCTTCTAGCCCTCCTCTTATTTAGAAACTCCATCAAAACTAAGATGCTTGACAATTGGACCGAAGCACTCACTGCACAAGAGTTTAACTCCTTAGTGCGCCCTATGAAGGTGCATAGAATCAATACGCCAAGTGCCTTCAATAGCACAGTTGACACAAAACAACTTCAGGTAAGGGCGGCGAAGGTAGAATACCGGTGCTTTATAGTAAAGTGTCAAAGGCAGTGTCTCACCAGATTTGAGTTATACCGAAGTTTTACAGGTTTCGTATAGGCGCCCCCTAAGCAGGTCAATGCCTAAGTCCCATTCGGTAAGGGCTTTCTTATTTCGAGAAAATTGAGCTAAAGCGGCGTTCGAAGCGCTTTTCGGCTCACGTTGGACGAATTGTCGGTTTCCCCCGTGATTGAACAAGATCATCGCAGCGTGGGGGGGGGGGGGGGGGGGGGGAAAGGGGGCAGCGTGGGGAGGGTAGGCGTCGAGCTGCAATGTACAGCCGCCCTACTCCGGTAAGGTCTCCCAGACTCTAAATAAGCTTGACAATTCCGGTTCTGGCCGGACGCCTGGTAAGAGCGGACCAGGCCACATTCTCCGCGTCTGGTTTTCCTGACCGCTAAGCGGTCCCCGCTTCACACCCAAGGTTAGCTATCGTGCCGCGGCAATCAAGAATAGGCCTAGTAAGTCTGATCTTGTAGGCAAAAAACACCACTACTCAATCAGCAAGGAGATATGGAAAAAACCCTGTACATCGGA